GAGAGAGAAAGAAAGAAATAGGTATTTCTGACAAGGTTTCATCATGTATAGTTCTTCTGTCCGAACCTCCCAGTTAGCTAAGATCACAGGCATGCGCAACCACACCCAGCCTGTTTAGGCAGGTCCAGGAACCAAACCCAGGTCTCCCATAGGACTTCTACCTCACACACCAGTGTCCTGCTACTTGAGTCACTGCAGCTGGGCTAACACGCCCAAGAACTTGGGTGAGCTATATGCTTACCAAGAGTCAGTTGTCAGGTCTCTAAAACTATTTGAGCTGCTACAGTTTTAATTATTAATTTAGTAAAATATTATAAAACTGACTGAATATGAGTTTGTAAAATGCAATGTTTTTATGTATACTAAGCTAAACAGACTTAAATAAGTAGACAAGCTGCTAAAGAATTTCTTAGACAAATTAAACGCAAGTGCAATGACCACCAGAGCAAGAATAAAGAGGGGCCAGAGGTACAGGTAAAACCTGATGCTTTGTGAGGCTGATCTACACAGAAAGGTTCCGGGTTCATGTCTAGAGACCTCCCTGAGTCCTCCAGGCACAAGAGTGTCTATGATATGGAGCTAGCTGAGCTGGGGGTAGATTGCAGCATCAAGACCCTGTTGGGGGGGGGAACCAGCAGTTAGCGTAATGGCTATGTCGCTGGACTCCCACGTAGTCGACCGCGGTTCGTGTCCCGGACCCGGTGGCTTAAAACTCACGCCGGGCACGTGTGCGTGCGTGCCCAAGATCCCGAGAGGAGAATGGAGGAGAAGGGATTGCGGCGTGACCATCCCCCCTGGGGGGTGATTTCTCGCTTTCTGTCTCTATGTCTCTCTCTGTCTGTTTGGCGAGCACACGCACCCTATAGCAAAAAAAACCTCTCCAAAAAAAAGAAAAAAAAGACCCTGTTGGGGGTACATTCTATTTTTCTTTCCATCTCTCTTGCTCATAGAAGAAAATAAACTTTAAAAAAATTAAAGGGCCAGCTTAGGACTTGGTGATTAAATAAGTTGCATACTACATGGCCAACTGCACAGTTCAAGTCTTGGACCAACTGGCTTTCTCAGAAACACATGAGGCTCATGTTTGTGCATGTCCAAAATCCCCAAAGAAGGGAAAATGGAGAAGGAACTGCAGAATGAACATTCTCTATCAGGGGTGCTTTCTCTCTCTGTCTCTCCAGAAAGTGCACATGTCCTCTAGCAAATTAAAAAAAAAAAAAAAAAAACTATGGGACCAGCAGATGGGGTAATGGTTATGTAATGGTTATGTCTGGACTCCCACAGAGTCAACCATGGTTTGAGTCCCAGACCCAGAGGCTTAAAATTCATGCTGGGCATGTGTGCGTGCGTGCTCAAAATCCCAAGAGGAGAATTTAGGAAAAGTGTGGCCAACCCCCTGGGAGGTGATTTCTCAGTCTCTGTCTCTGTCTCTCTGGTGAGCACATGCACCCTATAGCAAAAATCTCTCTCTTAAAAAAATGGGTCAGCAGGTAGTGTGGTGGTTAAGGCAATTGGATTCTCACATGGTCTACCACAGTTCAAGTCCTAGACCTGGTGGCTTGCTTTCTCACTTTCTCCATTTTTCTCTCTGTCCCCCTCAGGAAAGATAAAAGGGAGGGGGGAGGGGAAGGGAGAAAAAGGGAAGAGGAAGGGAGGGAAGAAAGGAAAGGGAAGGAAAGGAAAGGAGAAAAGGAAAGGAAGGAAGGAAGGAGAAAAAAGACAGAATGTTCAAAAAAATAATCCAAAAAAAAAAAAAAAAAAAAACAATGGGGCTGGCAGGTGGCATGTTGGTTAAGGCACCATACTCTCACATACCCAGCTGCAGTTCAAGTCCCAGACATGGCAATCTCTTTCCTTCTCTCTTTCTGTCTCTCTCTATTAAGTGCACATGCCCTATAGCAAACAAAATAATAATAATTAATTAATTAAAATAAATAATTATTTTTAGAAAATCTACACAAGTTCTGCATGCAGATTGCTTTGTAAGTATACTTAGCTTCTACTCTGCTTTTTGGTTTTTCTATTGAATTTCAGGTATAGAACTGTACATTAAAACAAATAAACTTTAAAAATGGAGACTTGGGGGATCAGCAGTAGGTGTAATGACTACATTGCTGGACTCCCATGTAGTCGACCGCGGTTCGAGTTCCAGACCCAGTGGCTTAAACGCACGCTGGGCACGCGTGCATACGTGCCCAAGATCCCAAGAGGAGAATGGAGGAGAAGGGACTGTGGCGTGGCCATCCCCCCTGGGGGGTGATTTCTCGCTTTCTGTCTCTCTGTCTCTATCTGTCTTTCTGGCAAGTAAGTGCACGTGCCCTATAGCAAAAACTTTTCCAGAAAAAAAAGGAGACTTGAAGGGGCTGAGGCAAGGGGATCATGACATCAAGACCCTATCTTAAGAAAAAAAAAAAATAGGGGGTCAGCACATGGCACAGAGGTTAAGGTACTGGATCCTGCATGGCCAACTGTGTAGTTTGCATTTTGGACCCAGCAGCTGTATCAGGTACATGGGATAAGAGAGGAGAAGGATCCTCACAACATTCTGCCAAAAATTTTTGTTTCTATGCTTGATACCTTTAGTAATAAAATTAAGGGAGAAAATTATTAAAAAACAACAACAACAACTAAGTAACCATTTCCCCTTCAAACTTAATCCCTGTAGGTCTCCCAGGGCTGCAACTGGAGAAATAGAGATGGGGTCTTAGCACAGCTACACTATAGGCTTCGCTTTCAACGGAAGCTTGAGGACAGCCTGCCAAATACACATCCTGACCTCCAGCCAGCACAACAATAATTTTTTTGTTTATCATATTCCTTTTTTATTTTTTTAAAGAGAGATTTTTGCTATAGGGCTCTCACCAGAGAGATAGAATGTGAGAAATCATCCCCAAGGGGGAATGGCCACATTCCAATCCTTTCTCTTCCATTTTCCTCTTGGGATCATGGGCACACATGCACATGTGCCTGGCATGAGTTTTAGGCTGCCCAGTCCAGGACTCGAACCATGGTAAACTCCATGGAGTCCAATGACGTTAACCATTACATCATCTGCTGATCCCCTATATTCTTTAAAAAAAAAAAAAAAAAAAACCTATTTAGAGGTATTCAGAATGTCAACAAAATACTGGAACTTATTTTTTCCAATTACAGAGTGGTATTCAGTTAACAGAACAATAATTTCATATAACCTGTATCAGAGAAAACAAAATGAAAAACTACCATCCCTATATAGAAGTAATTTGTGCTGTACACCAAGAAGAGCCTGCTTTAAATTTCCACATTAATTCACAACCCCGACACTGTACCAGGCAAGGCTAAGTGACTATGGAAAATACCACTAGGACAGGGCTATCTAAAACACACATTTGATAATGTGCTAACTACACAAAAAAAGAGACTGTACACTTTAAAAACAAACCTTACATTTCACTTTTTTTCTTTAAACAAAGTGAGTGGTATACAGGGAGGCTACAAGCTTTATAGATGAAGGGAAAAACCATGCTAGAACAGGCTTATTTATCCTCCTCTTCCTCCTCTTCAGCTTCCTCCTCTTTCCCATCATCTTCCTCCTCTCCCATCATCTTCCTGCTTTTTAGCCTTTACCCTCCCTCTTTTGCTGTCAGGCTTTCCTGTAACTCAGTGTGCAGCAATATCTTTTCTGTATTTTTTCAAGAGATTTTTGCTGTAGGGCGTACGCACTTGCTGGAGAGACAGAGACAGACAGAGACAGAGACCGAAAGCCCCAGAGGGGTTGGCCATGCTACACTCCTTTCTCCTCCATTCTTCTCTCAGGATTTTGTGCACACACGCACCCACCATGATTTTTCAAGCCACCAAGTCCAGGACTTAAATCACAGTCAGCCATGTGGGAGTCCAACGATGTAACTGCTATGCCATCTGCTGGCCCCAAGTTTAACAAATTTTTAAAGTCAAAGGATTCTGGAATCTGCCATGTCCTGTTTCAAAACAGTATCTAGAACGTTGACAATTATCTACGTAAAACAATAGAGAAGTAAATATTTCTGGTAGACTACAGTATTAACAGTTCTAGACAATCAGTATTAATTTCCATAGCAAAAGATGAGGCATAAACGCCACCATCCAGGCTCTTCCACTTACCAACACACCTGCCACCACAGAAGCCACAGCGTTTCTTCTCTCACTCCAGTCAATACATTCACATTCTGGCCAGCGGAAATTGTCTAGGAAGCCTGCCATTTTCACTCCTTAGCATGGATTTTTCATTAAATACCCTACTGAACAAAGGAAAAGACAAAGAAGAATGAATCAACCTAAGGAAATGTTTTTAAGAACTGAATGCATCAAGACAGTCAGATGGCATGGTGGTTAAGATGCTTGGCTCCCACACAGCTGGCTGCTTGATTCAAGTCCTGGACCCAGTGGCCTAAAAAACACACATGGGAGGGCTGGTGGATGGTGTGGTGGTTAAGGTGCTGAACTCCCACATGGCTGACTGTGGTTCGAGTCCTAGACCTGGTGGCTTACCTTCTTGCTTTCTCTTTCTCTCTCGCTTTCTGGTCAAATTAAAAATAGTATTAAAAAATAAAATTAAACAATCTTTTAAATCAAAAAAATAAAAATAAAATAACATGCCAGGTGTGTGTGTGTGCACAAACAAGACCAAAATTACAAGAGGAGAATATAGAGAAGGGACTACAGTATGGTGATCTCCCTTCCGGGGGGTGGGGGAGGTGTGTGTTTTCCCTCTCTCTGGCAAGCTCTATGGCAAAATTAAAAACTGAAAACAACTTATTCATTTTTTAAAAAATTATTTACTTAATTCCATTAATAATTATTTTTTAATTTGACCAGAGAGAAACAGAGAGAGAGAGAGAGAGAGAAGGAAAGCGAGAAAGCAAGTTGCCAGGTCCAGGACTTGAACCATGGATAGACAAGTAGGAATCTATCACTCCAATACCACTTGCCAGTCCCTTTATTCCTTTCTTAAAGTTTTATTTTTTTCTAAAGTGGGGGGAGAGGAGAGAAGATGGTATTTTCTTTTTTTTGAGAGGTTTTTGCCATAGGGTGTGTGCGCTCGCCAGACAGAGAGAGACAGAGAGACAGAAAGTGAGAAATCACTACCTCCACCACCACCACCACCCCGAGGGGGGATGGCCACGCTGCAATCCCTTCTCCTCCATTCTCCTCTTGGGATCTTGGGCACGCACGCACACGCGCCCAGCGTGAGTTTAAGCCACCGGGTCCGGGACTCGAACCACGGTTGACTACATGGTAGTCCAGTGACATAGCCATTATGCTAACTGCTGGTCCCTGGTTTGTCAGTTTTGATTACCTTTTTTTTTGAGAGGTTTATGCTGTAGGGCGCGTGCGCTCGCCAGACAGAGAGAGACAGAGAGACAGAAAGTGAGAAATCACCCCCTGGGGGGATGGCCACGCCGCAAACCCTTCTCCTCCATTCTCCTCTTGGTATCTTGGGCATGCACGCACACGCGCCCAACATGAATTTTAAGCCATGGGGTCCAGGATGTGAACCGCGGTCAACTACATGGGAGTCCAGCGACATAGCCATTACGCTAACTGCTGGTCCCCGAGAAGATGGTATTTTTGACAAGGTCTTACCATGTCACCAACTTCCTGCCCCAGCATCCCACCTAGCTAGGACCACAAGCACACGCTACCACATCTGGTCTGTTTAGACTGGGCTGGAAATCAAATTGTGATGTGACCATGCCCTGCTGGGGTGGGAGGCAGCTCTCTCATGCACCTGTGGATGCCCTCTGGTAATTAAAAAAAAATAGAGGATCGCTTGGCTGTGGTGGAGCAAGTAGGAGGGTGCTAGTGAGTGGTAGCACAAGTATTACAGGACACAAGTTGCCAGGAATAACTGAAGCAAGTTTGATAAAGGAAAAATTAAACTGAGCTAGGTTTTGAAGCATGGCATTTTTAAAATTATTTATTTAATTTTATTTATTTATTTTAATTTGACCAGACACACACACACACACACACACACACACACGGTGGCAAGGGAGGAAGGGAGAAAGCAAGACACCAGGTTCAGGACTCGAACTGTGGTCAGCTCTCGGAATGTCCAGTGCCTTAACCAACATGCCACACGCTGGTCCCAAAGCATGACTGTTTTTGAAATTAAAAAAAAGGAAAAAATGGGGCTGGCAGGTGGCAGGGGTGATTAAGGACACTGGACTCCCACATGGCCATCTGTGGTTCAAGTCCCAGACCTGGTGACTTGCTTTCTGACTTTCCCTCTCTTGCTCTGTCCCTCTCTGTTCAAATTAAAAATAAATTAAAAAATAAAGTTAAATAGGGACCAGCAGTTGGCATAATGGCTATGCTGCTGGACTCCCATGTAGTTAACCACAGTTCGAGTCCCGGACCCGGTGGTTTAAACTCAGGCCAAGCGCGTGTGCGTGGATGCCCAAGATCCCAAGAGGAGAGTGGAGGAGAAGGGATTGCAGCATGGCCATCCCCCACGAAGGGTGATTTCTCGATTGCTGTCTCTCTGTCTGTCTCTGTCTTTCCGGCATGTGCATGCACCCTATAGCAAAAACCTCTCCAAAAATTAAAAAAAGGTTAAATAAAATAATTCTTTTAAAATAAACAAATAAATAAAATATGTAAAATCATATAGGCCCAGAAGAGTATAGAGTAGTATTTTTATTTTTTTTAAGAGAGAGATTTTTGCTGTAGGGCGTAAGCTCTCACCAGAGAGACAGAAAGTGAGAAATCGCCCCCCGGGGTGATATAAGTATAATATAATGTACTATATTATATAATATACCATATCTACAATATATATTAATATAAGATATTAGCAACAGACAGCAAGGAGCTACGAGTGACTACCTGGCCTCTAGTGTCAGGTGCCCAATGGCTGGTAAGAGACCATTAATCAAAACAGGAACTGCTGGAAGAGAGAATGGGAGAATTAGTTTGGGCATAATGTAGTTGATATGACTGGAGGGCATTCAAATAGAACCACACAGAAGACAGCTGTGGGGAGCCAAGAAGGAGACTTGAGGAACATCCCAGACGGGACCGCTAGATGGAGACCAAGGTTATTGTCTGGACCTAACCTTGGGTGTCTGAACTGTTATGTGCTGAATGTTCCAAGTATTGTTACAACAACCTGATAAACTCAGCAAGGACCTTTTGAATTGCACGTTAAGAAAGCCAAATGTTTCTGTATAAAACAGAGCAATAAACTTAACTCGTGGCTGACCAGTATTGACTGGCAGTCCTCCCGTTGCCTAGAAACCTATCTGCGTAAGCAGACACGCCTATTCCTGAGCACATATAAGCTTGTCATACTTCCTGAATTAACAAGACTTGATCAGAACCTCGTCTTGTCTCCACTCTGTGTGTCTGTCCCTTCTCTCACTCCCTCCCTCAGGTGACTGTTTGACTGTCCTGCGGGTTGGGACAGACAGCTAAAATCTAAAGAGAAGTTTAAGACAGATACTGATTAGAGGTTCTTGGTAATTAAGCAGTAACTGAAGTCAAAAGGGCAGCTAAGGAATCTCAGGAAAAAATATGGAAGAGGACTGAATGATCAAACCAGTGTTTATCTCTTTCTCATTTCCTACATTCTTTGGCTTACTATGTGCCTGGCATTGGAGTACGCCCACATATATCATGGTATTTAAATCAGCACACAATTCCTCTAGAGCATGTGCTGAATATTTACTGAGCATCTCCTGCAAGCAAGGCATTGTGGTGAAAATAAAGATAAATAAAACTTGGCCCAGCCACTGTGGCACAGAGACTGTAATGCAAGTGCCCTGCAAGACTGGAAGCCATACTGCCAACCATGGGTTTAGATCCTGAGTCAGCCTGAAAATGTGCCAGGTATGTGGTCCAAGTGCCGAAGAGTCTCAGAAGCTCGAGGGCTGGAGGAGGGGAATCACAGTGGGATGACACACTGTCAAGAATGATTTTTTCTCTCTCTTTCATATATATACACACACAGGTGCTGTCATTAAAAATAAATTTAGAGGCCAGCAGGTGGTGTAATCGTTATGATGCTGGACTCCCACATGACTGCAGGAGGTTCGATCCCAGACCCAGAAGCTTGAAACTCATACCAGGCCCATCCATGTGCATGCATACCCAAGATCCCAAAAGGAGAATAGAGGAGGAGGGATTGTGGAGTGGCCATTCTCCCTGGAGGGTGATTTATCACTGTCTCGCTATCTGTCTCTCTGACAACTGCAAGTGTCCTAAAGCAAAAATCTCTCTAAAAAACTTAATGATTTAAATGATGAATTTTCTTTTTCTATAATTATTTATTTTATTTTATTTATCCAATCATTTATTTTTTAATTTGACCAAAGAGAGACAGAGGATGAGAGTGAGAGAGAGAGAAAGTGAGAAAGCAAGCCACCAGATTCAGGACTCGAACCCTGGTTGGCCATGTGGGAGTGTCCAGTGCCTTAACCACCACGCCACCTGCTGGTCCCCATGAATTTTCTTTTTTTAAGAGAAATTTTTGCTATAGCGCATGTGGGCTTGCCAGAGAGACAGAGACAGAAAGCAAAAAGTCACCTGCTGGGGGCATGGCAATGCTACAATTCTTTCTACTCCAGTCTCCTCTTGAGATCTTGGGCACATATGCACACGTGTGTGCCTGGCTTGTGTTTCAAGCTGCCGGTTCAGGATTTGAACTGTGATCAACTACGTGGGAGCCCAGCTATGTAACCATTACGCCATCCGCTGGTCCTGATTAATTAATTATATTTAACTTAGCCCTCATCATCAGATTTAGATGCTTGCAGAGAAATCAATGAACACTTTTTAAAATTACTGTTTGTATGGGACCAGCAGATAGCATAATGGTTACATCACTGGATTTCCACATAGTTGTCCATGCTTCAAGTCCCAGACCTGGAGGCTTAAAACTCACGCCGGGTACGTGTGCATGCATGGCCAAGATCCTCCAGTATGGCCATCTCTCCTGGGGGGGTTTCTCGCTTTCTGTCTCTCTCTCTGTCTCTGTCTGGAAGTGCACACACCCTATAGCAAGAATCTCTCTAAAAACAAACAAAAAAATTACTGTTTGTATCATTGTAAAATTGTTTCATAAAATCGGTACAATAACAAAATATAAAATATAAATGTAATTCAAGATCTTAGGTGTACATAGCCAGAGCATAAAAAGTTGATCAAATGAAACAAAAAGAGAAACTCTATCTTCCCCATCATCATTATTACTACTATCAGCTATTAGTTATACAGGGTGCTTATAGATGCTAGGCTC